AAGTGCTCTGGAAGAATAAGGGGATTAAAAATGTGGGAAGTGCCAGGAGCAAGGTGATTGATGACATTTGTCAAGTGTTTAGGCTGCATAGGAAGGATAGAAACCATGAAAGTGGAGAAAGACAGTGTCACATAGGCAAGGCTGAGAAACTGCTGGTCTTAAACAACATGCGGTTTGGTAGAAAAGAATTGAGAGGGCCGGGCACTGTAGGTGGCTCACGCCTGTAATCCCAGCATTTTGAGAGGCGGAGGCAGGTGGATCATGAGGTCAGGAGTTTGAAACCAGCCTGGCCAATATAGTGAAACCCCGTCTCTACTAAAAATACAAAAAATTAGCCGGTGCAGCAGTGGGCGCTTGTAATTCCAGCTACTCGGGAGGATGAGACAGGAGAATGGTTTGAACCCAGGGAGAAAAAAAAGAATTGGGAGAACTGGAAGGGTAGATGGCTATCAACAGAGAATGGTATATTGAAATTGAAGATTTCAAAAAGGGAGTTGACAGTAAAAGGAAGAACTACATGCCAGTATACATCAGCTAATCAGAGGGGCCATGAGTGGATGACAGTTTCTTCAGTGAAATTCAATGTAAGCTGGCTTCCAAAATATAAGATCTCAACGTTAATAGATAAGTAAAATTAAAATGTCACTGTATCTGTTAATTTAAGAAATGTGTGCTCCCCTCCTAGACTGTAAATCCCTTGAAAAGAAAGAACAATTATATTTTACACATTCTCATCATCTCCCATTATCTAACATAATTCCTTTTACGTGTTAGACACTCAGACATTTGTAAAATGTTTGAAAGAGAACAAAATATATAAAAATTGTATCATGAAATAATATATTAGATATATTTGAATAGGTAAGTATATGATTAAATTTTATTCTACAATAAATTCAGTATAAAGTTTCAAAATGAATTACTTTCTTATTTATGTGCTAAAGTTTATTCTGTTTTTGAACTTAATTTGCTTATTGTGGTATCTACAGTCATTTTGAAGCGGCAGTTTTTAGGACTTCTCTATTTCTAGTCCCACACATAAAATTTTTAGTAAGCTCCTAATATAGAGAAATCTGAGTGGTGTATTGACTATAGATTATTTGAATCCCAACCTCTTAATAAATTTTTATTTGCATAAGCAGGTCCTTAAAATCACATATCTATGTATTGTATGCACCATTTCATTTCATGTGTATCTATTAATAATAACAAAAACTAACATTTGAGTTATGTGTGTCAGGCACTGCTGTAGTTTACATAATTTTCTCATTTTTCCCTTCACGACAACCCAATAAACATTTGCTATTATTATTCTTATTTTACAGGTAGGGAAATAGTAGAGAGGTTAACTAATTTGTTCAAGGTCACAAAATCAGTGAATGAATTCAAACCTAGGAGATCTAGTTTTCAAGATGTTAACCACCACTACATATGAACATATGGATACATATAAATGCCAATTCATTTATCTTCTATTGCGTGTTTGTTTCCTTTCCCTGAAGATCCCTGAGATCAAGGACACTGGCTGGTAAAACAGCATCTTATCAATAAGTATTTTGTGAACAAATAAATGGATGAGCTTCTGACTTTACAGAATAATTTTGCTATTTCCTACAAATTTTCCTATTATTTTACAGCTAACACTCTTGGCTTTTCCTTCAAGCCCATTCCAGTTATTATTTGGGTGATTTGTTATGAGACATGTTATGACATTTTAAACCTTTACATTTAAAACTTCATTCTTTTGCTGAGACAAAAATGATCTCTTCTCCTCCTCCTCCTGTCAAAAATTGCAGATTAAGTGTTTACATGAGGGGAGTTTGTAATCCAGGATTTCTGCAGCAGCGGGCTTCAAATATTCTAGACAAATGCTGCTTTTTGTTCAACTCTTCCTGATGAGTGTTGTGATCAAAGCTTCCCCCTGGCATCCGTTAGTCATCAAGTGCTCAGTTTGAGAATGGTTGCTATCATCATTTACTCTCTAAACAGGTGCCACCTAGTTACTTTTGTTTTGGCTATTATGGGTTAAATGCATTCCTGAGCTTAGTCCTGCTTAAGCTTGCTAGTTCTCTATTTTAAATTAAGGCACAGTAGGTTATTTCTTTCAAGAGTAAAGGTTTCTTTAGGGAGGAATCTTTCAAAGCACTCATTTTTGTTCTTGTTTTCTGTAGATGAGTGTTTCACTGTTCAGCCTTGTTTTACTGCCTCTGGCTTACAAAACTGTATTACATTGCAGTTAACAATGGCTAGTGATTAAAAAGAACTGACGTTTTATTCTTAAAATATTGCTCTCTTTTAAGATGCTTACTTGACTGTTATTCCTTACTGCCTTGCTACCACCATTCTTGTATTGACTTTCAGTCCATGGAGTTAATGTCAATTTATAAAGAGTTGTTTCACTAAGGCATTTCAAATTATAAATATATTATGCAAGGATTCTGTTTTTTGCTACAGTTTTTTAGGTCCAGTAATTCCTTAGCAAAGAACTCTGTATGGGATTAATACATTTGTTAGCAATTACTTGACAGGAGAAAACATGTTGAACTATTTCTTTAAAGCTACTTTATATGTAATTACCCTGAATGTCTCCTTTCTAGCATGTTTCCTCCATGTGGTATGCCTGTTGTTCATCAAGTTAGAAATAGCCGATGGGACGATTAAAATTGCTTTCCTAATTGATAAAGAAGAATAGAGGATGGAATTTTAGATTCATGAGCAAAAACACTCAGTACCTATTGAAGTGACCATGTATTAGGAACTTGTCACAGTCAGGAATTCTCTCTTACCCACTTTTGTTTCACCAAAATCTAGTTCAATTACAGACCTTCTTTCTCCCCTACCCCCATTTGTTTCCTCCTTTCTTCCCTTCCTACAATTCAGACATAGGATTTTAGAATCTAGGACAGAGATAAAACTGGAGGTGTGAATTTGAGAGTAACCTTAATATAAATGGTAGTTAAGACTGTGAACTGGAGGATGTTACCAGTGGTGTTCAGAGGATAAATCAGCAAAGGAAACTTGGAAGAGTCAGTGAAATAGAAGGCAAACAAGCAGTGAGGCGTCAAATCAGCAGAAGAAGTAACTTAAAAAGGGGAAGAGGCCAGGGAAGTGGCTCATGCCTGTAATCCTAGCACTTTGGGAGACTGAGGTAGGAGGATCACTTGAGGTCTGGAGTTTGAGACCAGCCCGGCCAAAATGATGAAACCCTAAAACTAAAAATGCAAAAATTAGCCAGGGATGGTAGTACATGCCTGTAGTCCCAGCTACTCGGGAGGCTGAGACAGAGGAATCACTCTAACCCAGAAGGCAGAGGTTGCAGTGAGCTGAGATCACACCACTGCAGTAGCCTGGGCCACAGAGCAAGACTCCCATCTCAAAAAAAGAAAAAATGGGGTCGGGGGTGGTAGAGAAGATAGAAAACGATGACACATCCTTTAAAAGAGAGAGAAAAAAATAAGGCATGAGAATTGGCTATTAAGTTTCACTCTAAGTACTTGGAACAGAGAGGCCTGTTTGGAGTGAGATGAAAAAAAAATGGAATTGAGGAATAAAGATGGTGACTTTAGATACCTCTTTTGAGAGACATGATTATAAAGGGAAGCAGAGAAGTGAGTGACAGCTGGAAAATTTAAGTTACAGATGGGCAATTAAAAAATTCACATATAAGCCAATATAAATAATACAACATAGAGAAGGAAGAAAGAGATGATGTGGTTGGGGAAGGGATTCAAAATTTCAGGAGAAATATTTACCATGTGGATAAAAAGAGTAGGATTCATAGCACCGTTTGATCAGTTGGCATTAGAATGGACTTCTTCCATCATGACATCAGTAGAAACGTGTTTACTTCATAAGTCCATTTTAGATCTGGTGATGGAAAGATGAAGTAGGTCTCATCTGATATCTCCTATTTTCTCAATGAAGTATGAGTAAGATGAAATGTTTCAGGTGGAGGAAAGTGATATAAAAGGTTTACGGAAAGGAGAGAAGCTATAACAATAGTCATTTAGGAGAGTGAAAAGTAGACTTTGTGGCAAATGTTTGATTTCAACACTGGGCTGCCACTGGAAAATGTGCTATCCTGTTTTAAACATGTTCTCACAGGGATCCCCTTTCTGGGTATGTGTCAAGTACCATATCTTTAATTGTAGCCCATATTATGTCAGCTCTCACTCATCATTATTTCTCTACTGTGATTCAGACACGTAGGGATTTATCTTGCTCTTCATCTCATTGTTCATTTAAGAACATTTTAGCCCAGGTATGGTGGCTCACACCTGTAATCCTCGCACCTTGGGAGGCTGAGGCGGGAGGATCATGAGGTCAGGAGTTTGAGACCAGCTGGGCCAACAAGTACTTGACTCTAAGTACTTGGAACAGAGGCCTGTTTGGGGTTTCACCCTATCTCTACTGAAAATACAAAAATTAGCCAGGTGTATTGGCGGGTACCTGTAATCCCAGCTACTCGGGAGACTGAGGTGGAAGAATCGCTTGAACCTGAGAGGTGAAGGTTGCAGTGAGCCGAGATTGTGCCACTGCACTCCAGCTGGCAGCTCAGGTAACAGTGAGAGACTGTGTCTCCAAAATGATTTGGTGTTGGAGGAAAGACTTCCAAATGTTTTCAAGGGAAATAAAAGTAGAACTTCCACTTCACTTCTCTCCTTCTCTGTTTACTGTTTATAAAATGGGAGTAATACTATCTAGCTACAGATTTGTGGTTAAGAATTGGGAGACGATATGTATAAAATACTGGCCCATAGTAGGCAATCAACAAATGAATATTGTAATGTTATTGCCCCTAAATATTATTCTTCTACCCAGAGAATAAAAAGATCTTGCTTCCTTTCTTAAATACCACTCTAACTTGGCACAGTGTTTCTAAGTTTCTTTGGTTGGAATGTAAGATATTTTACTGAATGATATTTTGTATTTTGGGCTTCATGATGTTTTAGGGCCTTGGTAATGTAACACTTGAGAAAGAATAGACTTCAAATAGAAAATTTATTTCCTCATGAGATTTTATTTTTATTACACAAATACAGTTATAATTAATAATGTAATTTGGAAAGCCCAAATAATAATAACAGTGAGGAGGGAACATGGAGTAAAAAAGCCAAAACATAACTTGAAAGGGATTTTTTAAAAATGTCTTTATGTTATCCTCATTCTCTTTGTCTACTAGTAATGTTGCTGAAGACAACTGTGTTTTGTAGTGAAGCATTGTATCAGTTGGAATAACTAATACTAAGAAATGCTAATAGTTCAACTGTTGCATCAATCATTTTTGTCAAATTAACATAGCCATGTCCATATTGTGTTCACTAAAGCAATATGGATACTACCAAAACCATCGTCCAGTGCCTAAAGGATAAACAGGAGGTACTGACATCGTGATTCTTTATTCAATATCTTCTTCTTCTTCTATTTTGGTATGCTCTAGGGTATGTACCTCTCTTTCAGGTAGTAACCCATATTCATTTAGGAAAGACTCCACATCCCCAGCAAAAAATTCTTCAGCAAACTGTTCAGCAACACTAATAAAATTGCTTATGAGTTCCCCACCTTTATAGACGAGCAGTGTGGGAAGTACATCTAAGGAAAAGCGGTCCCCAGCACCTGTATTCGAAGCTTTTATTTTACAGAACTTAACTATAGGGTATTCTGCTGCAAGGCATGTTAAACTATCGTTTAGAGCATCACAGCCCTTGATGCCATCTTCATAAATGTGAACAACGATCGTGGTGATCTTCTGTTCCTTTTCAATCGTTTCCAGGAATTGCTCTCCAGTTTCCAGCTCATACACAAACCCATATCTAGGCCCAAAACTCAGCTTCTGGTGCATATCCTGCATACACTGTCTACGGTATTTACGAAGGCAGTTTTCATCCTCTTTCTCTTTATGAATTAGTTCATATTCTTGAATGCTCATCTGAGAATAGATTAAGGAAATGATAGAAATTATTCAGTCAGAAATTTTATTCCTTAGATATACCAAGCCCATTCTTAACCGAAGGAGTTTACTTTTGCTGTTTTCTCTGCCTGGACCTTTTACTCCTGATGCACCTTTCTCTTTCACCTCTTTCAAGCTTTTGTTTAAATGTCACCTTCCTTGATTACTTTACCTTAAAAAGTTCCCATCTCACACTCTACATTCTTTACGCTGGCTTATTTTCTTTATAGCAATAAACACTATTATATCTTAAAACTTACCTATTTTTTTGGCGTATGTGGGGGGAATTCAAGCAAGACAGTGTTTCCTACTATTTGGAGTTTGTCAGACAATCCAAGAGGTTAATTGCTGGACCAGCAGCATTAGCATCACTTGGGAACTTCTTGGAACTGCAAATATTTCGGGACCACCCTAGGTTTACTGAATTAGAACCTGTAAGGGTGAGGCTAAGTAATCCATATTTTAACAAGCCCTCCAGGTTATTATTATTCACTAGTTTAGGCTAAAGTAAGAAAATACCTAAACTCCATGTTCTAAGATAGCGACTTTTCATTGCAGTTGGAATATAAAGTTATCTACAGGCACTTTCATAATAGCTAGTCCATTATTAATGTATTCCATAGAATATTAAGTACCCCTTCCCCCAATCAAAAAAGAAAAAAGGAACAATGGGACATAGTGTGATTGATAGATGTGGAGCAGCTCAGAACCATGGAAGTTAGATGGTTCCCATGTGGGATCATCTGCTGCGTCCTTATCATTATGTAACCTCTCAAATAGCAAATATTATCAATTTTTAAAGTAGAAGAGAATTGAGAAGACATGAAACTGATGTTTATAAAAAGCCTACCGGGTGTTGGGCACTTCCCATAGATTATGTTATTTAATCCTTACAAATAACCTCTGAGATAGGTATTATTAGTGTTATTTTACAGAAGACACAGATTTAGGTTAAATAAAAGTTCATGATGCTTTCATTACTTCTTTCTCTTGTTTCTGTTTCTTATATCTGTTTCCCTAATGTTGTCATTCTTTTCCTTATCATATTTTTTTCTGTTTTAAGATTATTTTCCCAGGATGGGTGTGGGGACTCATGCCTGTAATCCCAGCACTTTGGGAGGTAGAGGAGGGGAATTGTTTGAGTCCAGGAGAACAGACTGGGCAACACGATGAAACTCCATCTCTATAAAAAATACAAAAAATAGCTGGGCATGGTAGTGCGTGCCTGTAGTCCCAGCTACTTGGGAGGCCGAGGCAGGAGAATCACTTGAATCTAGGAGGCAGAGGTTGCAGTGAGCCAAGATCTTGCCACCGCACTCCAGCTGGGGTGACAGAGTGAGACTTTGTCTCAAAATAATAATAGTAATAATAATAATAATAATAATAATATTCTCCCAATTTAGTTTTAACCCTAAACATTTCTAATACTTCATATAATTGCTGCTGTAGTTCTGTTAATTTACTATTAAAGACCAGACCATACAAATCTGACTTGACGATGTGTTTCAGCATTTGTATGAAAACTTACTTTAGTCACATATCCAGACATATGGATATGTACACATTTAGATGCATTTTCAAAGTTTAACCTTAGCATAACATTTTTAATAATGAAGGCTGGGCGCGGTGGCTCATGCCTGTAATCCCAGCACTTTGGGAGGCCGAGGCGGGTGGATCACGAGGTTAAGAGATCGAGACCATCCTGGTCAACAAGGTGAAACCCCGTCTCTACTAAAAATACAAAAATTAGCTGGGCATGGTGGTGCACGCCTGTAGTCCCAGCTACTTGGGAGGCTGAGGCAGGAGAACTGCTTGAACCCAGAAGGCGGAGGTTGCGGTGAGCCGAGATCGTGCCATTGCACTCCAGTCTGGGTAACAACAGCGAAAATCCATCTCAAAAATAAAATTTTTTTTTAATAATGAGTATGTGTCACATTTATGTAGTATTTTACATGTTTCAAAATACTTCTAAATTTATTTTTTCTTCACATCTCTTCAAAACAAATGGAGCAGGTTTGTTACAATTACCCAGATGGAGTTCTCTGTATTTCTCTTTCTCATATTGTGAAACTATTTCTAAGTCAACTCATGTATTTGTAACTAATTCTTTTCATAACTGTATGTGCTCTTAGCATGGAATGCCACAATAGGCATTCACTTCATTTACATTTTTTGCCAGCATAAGCAATACTGCAATCAATATATTTTAATAGTCTAAAGTGGTTATTTAGATTAGAAAACACATTGTAAATTATTTGTTACTGATTTTCATATTATCTTACCTTTCTGCTGACTCGTTCCTTTGAATCTTTGCTGTTCCTACTCTGAGGAGAAGACATTTGCCTGAGAATCTCCTTCTTGCTAGGTGGAGTTGAATCACTGTCTTCACTCTCTAATTTAAACTTCCTCCAATCATTTATTACTCCTTTGGGTCCTGGAATGAAATTACAAATCAATTGTTTCCCCTTTTATTTTCAAAAGGACTATTAGCATAATTGAAACTTGTGTAAGTATTGCTATGGGAATAAACTTATTATCTCCTGCATCAGAAAAAAAAATCTTGTTTGGACTAGAAATTTCCGACTGCCCTGCTCATAAAAATATGCTTCCACATTAATCTTGTTAAATGGGTTTTGGTAAAGAATCTTTCAGAAACATTTGCACTAATGAAAATATAAGTTATGCACTTTGAACTACTGGCAAAAGGTTGGGGTTAGTATATTTAAATATTAGAGTCTAAGGAGGATACTAGAATTTTGGAAAAAATAGTACTTTTATTACCTAAGAAAAAAACTTCAGCAACAAACTGAAATTGGCATTGCAGTGTGAAGAAAGGAAACTCAGCATGTTGGGGAAACAAAAATAACAATAGTATGTAAATGACATACTACTGAAAAGGGGGCCTGACCTCAACAAAACTAAAATGTCTTTAAGAAAATCATTACCTAACCATCCCATTTTTCTAAGATTCTTTTACAAACATAGAAAGAATAGGATTGGCAGATTTTTTCTTTTTTTTTTGAGATGGAGTCTTACCGTTGCCCAGGCTGGAGTGCAGGGGCATGATTTCGGCTCACTGCAACGTCCACCTCCTGGGTTCAAGTGCTTCCCTTGTGTGTGCCACCACACCTTGCTAATTTTTGTATTTTTAGTAGAGATGGGGTTTCACTATGTTGGCCAGGCTGGTCTCAAACTTCTGACCTCAAGTGATCTGCCTACCTTAGCCTCCCAAAGTGTTGGGATTACAGGTGTGAGCCACTGTGCCTGGCCAGTTGGCAGATTTAAGAAAAACTAATTAAATAAAGGATGATTCAACTGGAATTATGATATTCAGTTGATCTGATGACTGATAGCATTATTCATTTAAGAAGGTCTTAAATTCTTTAAAACAAGGAATATTAAACCTACTGTCCTTCACTAATGCTTAGCTATATCCACACCTTTAATGTTGTATTCTATATCATATTCTATATATGGATGTATTCCTTCTTTCTCCTCCATATTGCCTAATAATTTTTGTTTTATATATATGATATATATTTAATATCAATTTATCATGAATATATTTATATTATATGCAGGCAAAGATTTTTGTGTACATATGTAGTGTTCATATCAATATTTTAAAATATGTTTTATGTATATAAAAAATATACATGTATGTATGTTTGTTTAAAGAAAGAGACTCCATTTTTGCTCCCGGTTTCTACAAATTGTGGTGTATTAAACACATTTTTCCTTACCTTGCTTTATCTGTTTCATACTATATCTTGGAGATTTTCTTGGTATACACATGAAGAGATTCTCCCTTTAGAAAATTTGGAAAATGGAGGTATGGTGTTCTATTGTGTAGTTGTACATAATTTACTTAAACGGTTTCATAGTGATCTGCATTGTTTGTTTCTACATTTTTTCTATGACATATGATGCTGAGGGAAGAATCTTGTGCATACGTTTTAAAGAAATCTGTGCAGGTATATTTATGTTTATATAAGTACAATTCCTTGGTCAAAGGGCATATACATTACTAATTTTGATATTGTGAGGCTGCCCCTATGGATATTGTACCAGTTTACACTGCTATGAACAATGCATGAGAGTGCCAAAAATGTGTTATTACACTTACTTACTTCCACTATGCTTTTTGTGTTACTTTTTTCCCCCACGAAAAATCTGTTCTGTCTTTTGCTCATTGTTCTATTTGGTAATTCATTTCTTTTCTTACTGATTTGCAGGAGCTCTTAATGTATATTAGGAAACTAACACTATCGGTTGAGCTGCCAGTGTTTTTACTCAATTTATTAAATGTTTTTTGACTTTTGTTCCTAGTGACCTTTACCAGACAGCAGATATTTCCTTCCTTTTTTCCCATCTCCCATTTTCCCTTCTTCCCTCCCTCCATCCCTTCATCCGTCATCCTTTCTTCCTTTTTATAGTTGAACTTATCAACCTTTCCTTTCATGGTCTTTTTTGTTGTTGATGTTGTTTTTGGTCATACTTAGGAAAGTATTCCTCATATTGCTATTATAAAATAAATCACACATTTTGGCTAGTACTTGTATGAATTCTTTCAAAGTTGTGGCTAAATTTGATGGTTTAACCCAAATTAAAAGAGATAGGAAATTACCATTCAAATAAGACTGAATAGAGTTAAATGTGAATTTTTAACTTTAAGTCATGATATTTAAGTTTTAAGTTCTTAGGAGTAGCATATAGATAGCCAAACATAATTTAACAGATTAAGAAAATAGACTCTGGATAAAATAAACTTTTCGGTTTTCTGGAGGAATACTAAAATTCATTTAGTCAAAAAATAAAGGGAATATGTTGTCATTCCCTTTATATTTTTAGATTCAAAAAATATTTATTCAAAAGAATAAAGGGAATATGTTGTCATTCCCTTTATATTTTTAGATTCAAAAAATATTTATTCAAAAGAATAAAGGGAATATGTTGTCATTCCCTTTATATTTTTAGATTCAAAAAATATGTATTCAAAAGAATAAAGGGAATATCTTATCATTCCCTTTATATTTTTAGATTCAAAAAAATTAAAATTAAAAGCCATTTATTTACCTTTTGGTCTAATATTACTTACAATGAAAGTTTGTAGTGAGGGTGGGGTACAATCAGGAGAGAGGAAAGTGGCTTAATTCTAGCGTAGACAAGAGGTCTTGGGTTAGTTGGGCAGCAATAAATTATCAATAATTAGTGGGTTTTTTTCCTCTCTACCTCTAAATAAAACTGTTAGGAATTATTTGATTTCAAAAATTAATTTGTTCACTCAAATATTTTTTAAATTAGTCTAACAATTTATATAAAGATATTACTTAACGTACATACTGAATAGTGTCAATAAGAACAATAGATATTGCCAGATTTAATTCTAATTTAATAATTATTTTTTCTTCTAGTTTTGCTTGCCTGTATGTGTGGCCTGTCCTTCAAAGTCTTCCTCCAAACTTAGGCTTTTGGCTTCTTCCATTTCAGGGATTGGATTTGATATAATCTATAGATGGAACAAAGAAATAATAATGGCAGATAAATTCCAAGATGTGCACATGTATATATATATATGTACAAATTGAAATATATAGGTATATGCATATTTATAGGCTCCTGCTGTCAGATTCCATAGTAGGCTAAAGATAATCACTAAATGATAAAGTGTTTAGAATGTTTCTGTCTGCAGCGTAAAAGGACATTAACGTGTTATTAAAGATGTCTGGACTTAAGGATTTTATATGATTCATAATTTGTCTTAAGCCTTCCAGTTAAGTCTGTGTGGTTAATGAACATTATTTATTACTGATTTTCCTAATTTCATAATATTATATGAAATTTGAATATATAAGCAATAAATGTTATTTATTTCATATAATATAAAATAAAATTATTAATAATTATATACTTGCTATGAACACTCACTGTGTGTCAGGAGTTGTTTAAATTATTTTATCTGTCAAAACTCATTTAATTCTCACATAGCCATATGTGGTAGGGACAATTGTTAGTGACATGTTATAACCAAGGAAGCTGAAGGGCAGGGAGTTTAAGTTACTTGCCCAAGATTACACAACAAGTGGTGGAGCAAAGATTTGAACCTAGATTATTTGACTTTGGAGCCAACTCTTAATCATTATACCATTTTGGAAATTAACATACTATTCAAACAAGATTCAATAGAGTTATTTTTCTCACTGTGATTTGGCAAATCTAATCTCTGAATTGGCATTAAAGAATGATGGTCTAGGCCAGGCTTGGTGGCTCATGCCTGCAATCCCAGCACTTTGGGAGGCCAAGGCGGGCAGATCACAAGGTCAAGAGATCGAGACCATCTTGGCCAACATGGTGAAACCCCATCTCTACTAAAATACAAAAATTAGCTGGGCGTGGTTGTGCGCACCTGTAGTCCCAGCTACTTGGGAGGTTGAGGTAGGAGAATTGCTCGAACCTGGGAGGCGGAGGTTGCAGTGAGCTGAGACCATGCCACTGCACTCTAGCCTGGTGCCTGGTGACAGAGTGAGACTCCATCTTAAAAAAAAAAAAAAGAATGATGGTGTAAGGAACACTATTCAATAGCATCTCTCCAGACCATGGAACAAGTTTTCATGACAACAGTACCCACCAAGCAAATGAAAACAGCCTGTAGCTAAGCCTATGGTATTTCTTTTTTAAGTTTTTAGAAAGATGGTCTAACTCTGTCATCCAGGGTTCATTCAGTGCAATGGTACAGTCATTTATTTGTTTGTGTATTTATTTTTATTATTTTTTAAAATTGTACTTTATGTTCTGAGGTACATGTGCAGATCATGCAGAATTGTTGCATAGGTACACACATGGCAATGTGGTTTGCTGCTTCCGTTCCCCCATCACCTACATCTGGCATTTCTCCCTATGTTATCCCTCCCCAACCTCCCCACCCCACCCTGCTGTCCCTCCCTTGGCCCCTGCCTCCCAACAGACCCCAGGGTGTGATGCTCCCCTCCCTGTGTCCATGTATTCTCATTGTTCACCCACCTATGAGTAAGAACAGGCAGTGTTTGATTTTCTGTTCTTGTGTCAGTTTGCTGAGAATGATGGTTTCCAGATTCATCCATGTCCCTACAAAGGACATGAACTCATCATTTTTTAATGACTGCATAGTATTCCATGGTGTATATGTGCCACATTTTTCTTGTCCAGTCTATCATCGATGGGCATTTGGGTTGGTTCCAGATCTTTGCTATTGTAAACAGTGCCGCTATGAACATATGTGTGCATGTGTCTTTATAATAGAATGATTTATAATCCTTTGGGTATATACTCAATAATGGTATTGCTGGGTCAAATGGAATTTCCATTTCTAGATCCTTGAGGAAGTGCCACACTTTCATAATGGTTGAACTAGTTTACACTCTCACCCACAGTGTAAAAGTGTTCCTATTTCTCCACATCCTCTCAGCATCTGTTGTCTCCAGACTTTTTAATGATTGCCATTCTAACTGGCATGAGGTGGTATCTCAATGTGGTTTTGATTTGCATTTCTCTAATAATCAGTGATGATGAGCATTTTTTCATATGTTTGTTGGCCTCATATATGTCTTCTTTTGAAAAGTATCTGTTCATATCCTTCTCCCACTTTTGGATGGGTTTGTTTGTTTTTTTCTTGTAAATCTGTTTTAGTTCTTCGTAGATACTGGATATTGCCCTTTGTCAGATGGGTAGATTGCAAACATTTTTTCCCATTCTGTTGGTTGCCTGTTCACTCTAGTGGTGTTTTCTTTTGCTGTGCATAAGCTTTGGAGTTTAATTAGGTCCCAATTGTCTATTTTGGCTTTTTTTGCCAATGCTTTTAGTGTTTTAGTCATGAAGTCTTTGCTGATGCCTATGTCCTGAATGGTTTTGCCTAGGTTTTCTTCTAGGGATTTTATGGTGTTAGGTCTTATGTTCAAGTCTTTAATCCATCTGGAGTTAATTTTAGTGTAAGGTGTCAGGAAGGGGTCCAGTTTCTGCTTTCTGCACATGGCTAGTCAGTTTTCCCAACACCATTTATTAAACAGGGAATCTTTTCCCCATTGCTTGTGTTTGTCAGGTTTGTCAAAGATCAGATGGTTGTGTTTGGTATGTTTTGGGAGTGGCTGGTACTGGTTGTTCCTTTCCTTGTTTAGGGCTTCTTTCAGGTGCTCTTGTAAGGCAGGCCTGGTGGTGATGAAATCTCTCAGCAAGTGCTTGTCCATAAAGGATTTTCTTTCTCCTTCGCTTCTGAAGCTTAGTTCGGCTGGATCTGAAATTCTAGGTTGAAAGTTATTTTCTTTAAGGACGTTGAATATTGGCCCCCACTCTCTTCTGGCTTCTAGGGTTTCTGCCAAGAGATCCCCTGTGAGTCTGATGGTTTTTCCCTTTGTGGGTAACCCAACCTTTTTCTCTGGCTGCCCTTAGCATTTTTTCCTTCATTTCAACCCTGGTGAATCTGATGATTATGTGCCTTGGGGTTGCTCTTCTTGAGGAATGTCTTTGTGGTGGTCTCTGTATTTCCTGGATTTAAATGTTGGCCTGCCTTGCTAGGTTGGGGAAGTTCTCCTGTATAATATCCTGAAGAGTGTTTTCCAGCTTGGATTCATTCTCTTCGTCACATTCAGGTACATTTATCAAACATAGATTAGGTCTTTTCACATAATCCCATTTTTTTGGAGGCTTTGTTAATTTCTTTTCACTCTTTTTTCTCTATTCTTGCCTTCTTGTTTTATTTCATTGAGTTGATCTTCAATCTCTGATACCCTTTCTTCTGCTTGGTCGATTTGGCTATTGAAACTTGTGTATGCTTCATGAAGTTCTTGTGCTATGTTTTTCAGCTCCATCAAGTCGTTTATATTCTTCTCTAAGCTGTTATTCTCATTAGCATCTCATCTAACCTTTTGTCTGTTCTTAGTTTCTCTGCATTGGGTTACCACATGTTCTTTTAGCTCTGAGAAGTTTATTACCCACCTTCTGAAGCCTGTTTCTGTCCGTTCATCAGATTCGTTCTCCATCCATCTTTGATGTCTAGCTGGTGAGGAGTTGTGAATCCTTGGAGGAGGAGAGGCATTCTGGTTTTTGGTGTTTTCATCCTTTTTGCAGTGGTTTCTTCCCATCTCAGTGGCTTTATCTACCTGTGGTCTTTGTGGTTCGTGACTTTCGGATGGGGTCTCTAAGTGGATGTCCTTTTTGTTGATGTTGAAGCTAGTTCTTTCTGCTTCTTAGTTTTCCTTCTAACAGTCCAGCCCCTCTGCTGCAGGATGGCTGGAGGTCCCCTCCAGACCCCACTCCTCTGGGATCACCCGTGGGGGCTGCAGAACAGCAAGGGTTGCTCTCGGTTTTTTTCCTCTGCTATCCTCGTCCCCGAAGGGTACCTGCTAGATGTAAGTCTGAGCTGTCCTTTATGAGGTGTCTCTTTGGGTATACGGGGTCAGGGAGTTGCTTGAGGAGACAGACTTTCCCTTATAGGAGCTCAAATGCTATGCTGGGAGCTCCGCCATTCTGTGCAGAGCTGCTTAGCCTGTACTTTTAAGTCTGCTGCAGCGGAACTCATGACCGCCTCTTTCTCAGGTGCTCTGTCCCAGGAAGGTTGGCTTTATAATTTCCTGTCTTGTTGCTGCCTTTTTTCAGACATGCCCTGCCCAGCACGGAGTAGTCTAGTCACAGTCCGCTAGCAGAGGAGTTGCTGAGCCGCTGCGCCAGGGGAAACGGCCGCCCAGACTGGTGTGAGTTTCTGCGCAGACGCGGCACCGGCTGAAACCGCCATGCTGCAAACTCGTTGCGCTTTTCGCCCGGGAATCTCCTGGTCTGTGGGCAGTGAAAACTTGTTTGGAAATGTGGTGAGCGCTCACCCTCTGCGCTGTTCTTGCTGGGAACTGCAGCTGTCGTGGATGTCCTCCAATGGTATAGTCTTAGCTCCCCGGACAGGCAAACTCTTGGGCTCAAGTGATCTTCCCACCTCAGCATCCTGGGTGGCGGGAACTACAGGTGTGTGACATCATGCCCTGCTAATTATTTTTTATTTTTTGCTATGTTGCCCAGGCTAGTGTTGAACTCCTGGCCTCAAGAGATCCTCCCACCTTGGCCCTTCAAAGTGCTGGGATTATAGGAGTGAGCCACCACACCCTGTCAGTTATAGTGCTTTTGAGAGGCTAAAATAGAAAATCACTAAAAGCACTTGGATTTTTATTCATATGAAACTCCATAGGGCCCTCATATAGAATCTCTTCTTTAATTCTATCTGGTTCACGCTCTCAAACCCATTTCCTTGTTTAGCTCTGGCCCATTTGGAAAACTCAGTTATTATACACACTAGCATATTCTCTCGGGTGTCCAGATAGTTGTGATTTTCCTGAAGTTTTCAAGTCAGGGAGGACGTACCAATCGTGGATAAACTATCTTCTTTTTATGCTTTATTCTTTCACTTTTTTTGCTTTGCCTCTTTCTTTTGAAGTCAGTTTTAAGTACCAATATCGCACAGTTTATACTTTGAAACTCATCTTAGTTTTCTGTAGATTTACACTTCAGTCCTACATTTGGTTTGTTTGGTGCCTCCCCAAGGCATAGGGTAGGAAGACAGAACCCTCTCTTGATTTCTCTTTTGCCTTTACCTTTGGTCTCAACACCTGGACTGCTTCTGCAATTTTGTTTCTCTTTTTGCAATCCCTATCCAGAATCACTGAAGGTCAAATGTCTTTGCCAACTTGATATTTTCTGCTTGAACAATAAAAGACTGTCAAGGGAAAGCCAATCAATTTTACAATATTTAGGTAAGTATAAATATAATGAAGAATTATATTGTAATGGCTTTAGTAATTTAAAAGCATAATGGAAAATGGAAATAAGTAAAAACTACTGGACAAACAACCATTTTATTAGTGAAATTATTTAAAAATAAATTTTGCATCTCAAAAAACATGAAAATTTTTGAAGAAAACTACAGAACAAAGAAATGGAAATTTATTTGATAATTTCAATAGCTCTTCAGTTCCCAGAAAAATAAGAGACTCAATCCAGTCTCTTTACTTTTTAAGACTGTATTGTTAATTTGTGTTAGCTACTATTCTCAGTAAATATACATAACTCTAAGAAAATCTAAAAATAATTTTATTTCAGATGCTGAAGACACAGGGTACAGCTTTCTTCTTGACTTGCTTGTTGTTTACCTAGTTGACAATCTACTGGGAAAAAGAAATGCCTTTTTCAGGAAAGGCTTTCACCAATTTCAAGGAATTCCTTTATGAAAAGATAATCCAGTTACTTAGGGCAAAACTTGTTTGTTGATTGGCTTCTTCATATATGTTGAGAATAGACTAATGCTAGGCATTTCCTGGGCTCTGAATCACATGAAGAACCAAACTCTTCCAGTATGGTGCTCACTAGTACTAAGACTTAAATCAACTGGGTTGCCTGTTTAAGTAAAGGACAGAGTCCATCCTTACCTAATGCCTCCATTTGAGTTAGAGTACAAGGATTGGCAAAACTTGTTACTCTTTACTGCCAGGAAAGCAGTGAACAGATTGAAAGGAAACTATTAAGACATGAGTGTGTTTGTTTGCACTGCATGAAGCACCTAGAGGAAGACACAAGTAGATTATTATTAGCTATCAATAGATTTCATCTACCCTCCTATTAATTTACCCTGTCACCAACTCACTCTGGGGTTTTCTGATTATCCCAAAAAAACTTATCCTCTTCAAAATGTACATTAGCATTATACAAGTAATTATTTTTTGCCTCTTTTAGATAGCATCTTGCTCTGTTGCCCAGGCTGGAGGGCGGTGGCATAATCTCCACTCACTGCAACCTCCGCTTCCCAGATTCAAGGATTCTCATGCCTCAGCCTTCTACCTAGCTGGAATTATAGGCATGGGTCACCACACCTGGCTAATTTTTGTATTTTTGGTAGAGATGGGGTTTCACCATGTTGTCCAGGCTGGTCTCGATCTCCTGATCTCAAGTGAACTGCTCACCTTGGCCTCCCAAAGTGCTGGGATTGCAGCGTGAGTCACCTGGCTGGTACAAGTAATGTAATTGGAATATTTGCAAAGTGCTTAGATCTCAGCACATAGTAACTGCTTTATGAGTCTGTTAAATAAATTAAAAATATATCTTTTACATATGTGCATGTAATATATCAGCCATTTAGAAATATAATCAACGGATTGGTGTACAGTGATATTATTTCATGGTTAAAAAAATTCCGTGTCTACTTTAGGCTGAAACATTTAAAATTACAATAGGATTATTGCAGGGTTTTGGGTAAGCACATCTTCGTGTGACTGGAAATTGGTAATACAGTAAGGGAAGAAGACAGAAGGTAAAAATCTTACCTTCACCAAGACTTGCTTTGGTTCAAAAGAATTACTGTATTTTCCACATTGCATAATTATAAAAATATGTGATTTAGTATGTTTTTTATTTTAAATAGTTATAGTACTGTTACAGTGAAAATGTGTGTTAAGTAAAATTGTATATGGATGACCTTTGACAGAATAACATGCAGTTAAAATAATATTATCACTCTCTTCAAAAGTGATACTAAAATTTAATATTGGTGAGAAATACAGCTTAAAATAGAATTTTAGCAAGTTAGGGTTTTATTTTCCTCTTAATTTAGGATTTTAATATTTTTAAATAATAGCTTATATAGGATAACACTTCTCAAACTTTGTCCTCAAAATTCTAACACCTCCCAACTATGGTTTAGTAATTACCAAGAAATAAAATGAGACAAATATAAATGGTCCTGCTTGTTTCTCCTGTTTCGCATAAGATAGCAATGATCTAGAACAGAAAGAAAGTGTGTAAAATTTTTACACATTCGTTTTAAAAGGCTTAAAAAAAATCTACCCCTAAACAAACATTTCATTCATCATTATCCTTGGTTACTTCAAATCTGTTTAATCTAATCAGAATATCTAGTTTTAAATTGACTTGTAGATTCTCAGTATTGCTTAAGAAGAGCTTTGCTTTCTTTTTCTTTTCTTTTTTTTTTTTTTGGAGACGAAGTTTCAGTCTTGTTGCCAAGGCTAGAGTGCAATAGCGCCATCTCAGCTCACCAAGACCTCTGCTCTGAGGTTCAAGGAATTCTCCTGCCTCAGCCTCCGGAGTAGCTGGGATTACAGGCATGTGCCAGCACACCAGCTAGAGCTTTGCTTTTGAGACTAGCTATTGTAGTTTATTGGTAGATTTTCAAATAGTTGGGATTATCTAATTACTCTATGATATAGACTGACTTCTCTCCTAGCATCCACAACAACTTATAGTGTTTATTTTTATGCGTTTTTCTCCACTGTTGTAAATTCTTTGAGGACGGAGGCAAGTTTTTATTTGTTGTCGCACTTCTCATAATTGTTTCATATGTTGTAACTAATTCATAAATGACAGCAGCAAATTTTAAGGAAGCTACTATGTGCTGGGTACTCTAGACACTGTTTTTAAATTTTTTTAATTTTTAGTTTAATTTGAGGTAGAGTCTCGCTCTGTCACTCAGGCTGGAGTGCAGTGGCGCAATCTCAGCTCACTGCAACCTCCACCTCCTAGGTTCAAGTGGTTGTCCTGCCTCAGCCTCCCAAGTAGCTGGCACTACAGGCACACGCCACCAAACCCAGCTAATTTTTTTGTATTTTTAGTAGAGATGGAGTTTCACTGTCTTAGCCAGGATGGTCTCGATTTCCTGACCTCGTGATCTGCCTGCCTTGGCCTCCCAAAGTGCTGGGATTACAGGCGTAAGCCACTGCACCCGTCCAAATTCAGAAATCTTTAAGATCAATTTCTAAAATAAGTCTGTTTCTTAAGCCTCTCATGATCTAGCCCAAGTTTTGTATAAAATATCAGTTTGTGGCTTATGTTTGAAAACTAAAACTTCAGTCTGTAAACTTTCTGCCACTCTTCTTTCTATTTGTCAGAAGTCACAAATAAGCACGGTTGCCAGGTGCCATTGTCTGCTTGGGCTGCTATAACAAAATATAAACAAACTGTGTGGCTTAATACACAGAAGCTAATTTTCTCATAGTTCCAGACGCTAAAAGCTTCATATCAAGATCTAGTAAGGCTGGTTTCTAGTGCAGGCCTTCTTCCTGGATGGAAGATGGCTGCCTTCTCACTGTGTCCTCATATGACAGAGAGCAGGTTAGCTCCCTGGTATCTTGTAATCCTATGGGATCAGAGCCATACCCTTTGACCTCATATAACTTTACTTTTACAAAGTCCCTATCTCCAAATACTGTTATATTGGAGGTTAGGGGCTCACTGTATATATTTTGAGAGAATATAATTCAGTTCATAGCTCCTGGTTCTGACTTTTGTGAAGAATGACTTTACACAGATGCTGTCCACTATTTATGTGTCTCCATAGCCTGCCTTTTATTTAATTTCTAAAGCTTTGGGCCTCTGGATTTTTCAGGGTTCCCCAGCTACCCTTTAAAATTGCAGTTAGGAAAATGAAGCTTATCTAAAATAACTCTTTCATTTTTTTTGACTATTCACTAGTTCTTTCCATGCCTGTGGACCCCCAATCTTGGGATGCCACAGAAGAGCCCACAAAAATATAGGCCAGTATTCCCCTGCATGTTAGGTAATGCAAATGTCAGTTATTTCTTTGGCCAGTTTCTGGCTTGTTTTGATGTCTAAGGAAAATATTAGTATTCTACACTAACTGCAGTGAAATCAAGGGTATTGCTCTAAAAAAGTGAA